GCAGTTGGAACATGTACAATAGGCATAGAAGTAAGAGCCATTATTAGTTAATCATAAGGGTGTGCTGTTCCTCCATGATAATGCCAGGTCTCATGTGGTGTGGGTGGCCAGGGATACCATATGGTAACTTGGCTGTGCCATCCACTTTACTCCCTGGACCTTATGCCAACAGATTACCACCTCTTCCATTCCCTGGTCAACTAGCAGCATGAGAAATCCTTCATAAATGAAGCAGACTTGTAGCTGACACTCACAGATTTCTTTACATCCAAGATACCTGCTTTTTACTGACATGGCATTGTGCAGGTGGAGCTATGTTAACAAAAGGTTCTGGATGCTGATAAGGATTACTTTGAGAACAGACGGTATGTCAAGTTTGCTGAATAACTTTTTTTTTCTAATAAATAAAAAACAGCAAGGAATTTTGGTTACCTTGTAGAAGTGGGGTGGGGGTTCTGTTTATAATATCCATATTGTGTCAAATTGATCCCTGACTTTTACAGAGATTTTGAGGTGGGTTACAGAAAATTTCTATTAAATAATAAATTAACATATATATACATTTTTAAGTAAAGAACAATGATTTACATAAATTAATAAAATTATGTATCCATTTATTCTTAATTTAAGATAAATAATTATTAACCTCAAGTGTTTGTACATATGCTTCCAAAAAATGCCATACAAAAGTTTTATAAAAATATTTTTCATAAATTAAAAAAGAAGGTTAAAAATTAAAAAAAAAAATGTTAAGAATATGCTGTTATAAGCACATTTTTAAACATGACATTTTTAATTAACAACTAAGTGACTTAAGACCAGTAACTCTTCAAAATCAGGGATCAGTTTGACACAATAATTATATTATAAACAGGATGCCATTCTAAATTGATAACAAATCAATATTTTTCAATTTAGCCTAAAGAAGGTCTAAAAGACAAAAACTATTTCCCCAAAACATTTTCCCTAATTGTCACTTGTCAAAATTTTGTGTTACATTCAAAGCATGTGTATTAGGTTAAGTTATAAATAATTTCTGCTTTTGTTTATCAACTTCATTCTTCACAATATTACAATTGGTTTCCCAAAACAGAAATTACTTATGACTCAACCTAGTGTGTATGTATGTATGTGTATGTGAGAATGTTTGTTTATTGTAACAATATTGTCAAAATGGTTAAGTTGAAGAATAATTCAAGTTCAATTTGTAACTTAATAATAATATTCATGCTCATTCCAATAATATCATGCGCCAATTTCTCAAAGAGAATAGATCCAGGAATTTTAAATTATAAAGTAGTTTCTTTTATTTACAAATAATTCTATGATGTTATAAAACAGCAAAAATTAAATCGTGTACGGAGAATTGTATTAATGTAATGCTATTAAAGTTCTTTAACTTTGAAAATGAACCAATTTCCAGTCCAATTTGCACTTGCTAGGGTGGTGTTTGCATTCAGACACTCACCAAATTATTTGGTTTCTCAAGGAAGAATAAAGGATTATATATATATATATATATATATATATATATATAATATTTTAATTCATCTGATATATCTAATATCACTTCTAGATGACAAGATATAAATGATGTATAAAGTTCTGAAATTAAGTATTTTTATTAATCTGTAACTTATTTGAATTAAGATCCTCATCTTTATTGTTTTTATTACAATGTTTCATTTGGACTTTGTCATGTGTTGCTTGCATCTTGTGGAGTTGAAATACTAACATTTGGATTAGTGATCTGCAGGGAGCAAAAAGGACCAAAGAACTACATAAAAGCCATCAGATGCAACCTATACCTGATGAAGGTCATATAAATTATCAGCTGGAATAAAAACAACAAAGATTACTCAAAATGTATTGTAATATATTGAAACACTAATCTTTTAAGGGTTCTAAATCTTATTATTTAATCTTTGGACTTAATGAAATGTTTATAAAACAAACAAAAGAATTTTTTTCAATTTAATGAAATATTTCAATAAATAACCCATTGTATCTGAAATGGCACAGTATCAAAAGCAAATTAAAGGCATTTATATCCCTACTGCTGGCTTTACTCAAAAGAAAGCTAATTTATCATGTATTTTTGTTTGTTCAAACGAAATGTTAGTTAAAACCTAAGAGTTGCCCATACAAGAATAGTAATTTTCATTGGATGTTGGGAAGGCTTATGAACAATTTTTTAACATAAAAATTCCAACAAAAATAATATTCTAATTCATTCACTTTTCCTCACACTAAGTCTCCCTCACTTATTCCTCCCTTCTATTATTTCCTAGTCTTCTCAATCACTCTCTCACTCATTTACTCCCCTATGCTCACACTTCTCCATATTACTCCCCTTGCAAACTCTTCTACTCACACTTTCACTTCTCTCCACTCCCTTACACACTCATTAATTAAAGAGTTACTTTCTTCTCATCATTTACTCATTCCTACACACTCTATCACACTCTACCTCTCCCACATTTTATTTTTCTTTCACTAACTCCTCTTGTCCTATCCTCTCCTAACTTACTCCTCCTCCTCTCTCTACTTTGTACCTATACTTGCATACTTCTACTCTCCCTCTCTTGCACTTACTTTTCTCCACTCCCCCTTACTTTTTGCCACTACCTCTCCCACTTTTCTCCACTCCCTCCCCTCACTTACTTTTCTCCACTCCCTCTCTCTTTCACTTGCTTTTCACCACTCCCTCTCTTTCACTTTTCTGCACTTCTTTTCTCTCTCACTTACTTTTCTGCACTTCCTTTCTCTCTCACTTTTCTGCACTTCCTTTCTCTCTCACTTACTTTTCTGCACTTCCTTTCTCTCTCACTTACTTTTCTGCACTTCCTTTCTCTCTCACTTACTTTTCTGCACTTCCTTTCTCTCTCACTTACTTTTCTGCACTTCTTTTCTCTCTCACTTACTTTTCTCCACTCCTCAACAGACTTGATATTAATTCATGAGCTGTTTGTATAATTAAATTAGCCCTATTCCTTTCTCACTGTAAATATTTTAGGATGAAATACTGAAACAGAATTGTGTCAATCTAAATATAAATAATTATTTTGTTTGATTGAAACCCAAGTACGTGTTGAAGAGCTAGAGGCAATTATTACCTTCAAACATTGAAAATACTCACTGCAACAACAAAAAAAGAAAAATTCTTGTCTTATTAATAATTTACCCTGATTTGAATAAATAGTTTCAGTGTAAAGTGGTTAAATAAGAAGCAATAGCTATTTTGTCTTTTGCACTGTACATCAGGCTTACCACCCCTCATTTTATAGGTTCCTGTTTTATATGCTATAAAATGTCTTTGTTATTTTGTGGTCTAATTAGCACAAAACCTGGGGATAGCTTTATGCATATAAGTTACTCTAAATTAATGATATTTTGTTTAAAAAATCACTTTATGCACAAGATCAACTAGGATGTCAGTACAGTAAATCCTTATTATTTTAATCTTTAATGGATTTATCATTGGATTTTTGTTAAAGTACTTCTCAGATATTCTCTAAAATTCTGAGACTAAATATTTTTATTATTTTATAAATTTCCAGATTATTATATTGATTATTATATTGATCTTTATTGTATTTTGCACAACATTTAAATTCTGTTTTCCTCTGGTTTATGTTGCATCCAGTGATCTTTAGAATCCCTTGAGTTCTTTCCTCCTTCTTTTTCATGACTTTTGACATGGTATGCATGTATGGTGGAGTAATGGATAGTGGCTCAGATTGAGGAATCAGAGAGCCGAGTTCAAATTTCATTTGAATCCATTACATTCACTTACGTGCTAATACCCTTGGGAAAAGTATGAATCCTTTTCTTCTCCCTCCAGCTATGAGTAAATAGCAGGACAGATCGGGTTCTATAGCTTGGGATGGCAACTGGTCTACAGAAAGAAATGACAACCTACTGCATGTAAAAAATCTGCCTTGTTAGTCATGTATCAAAAGATACATGGTCACCTCACAAAAATCATGTGTGGCGAAACATGTATCTTTTGATTGCCACACATGGCGCATAATTGACTGAGGTATATCTAACAAGGAGTTATCTATATCACTCAACATGTTTTCAACAAAATCAAAATACAAAACACTCTGAAATTTTAGGAAATATTTATTCCATTGGAATGAAACAAGAAAGTTTGACTGTGGAAAAGGTACACTCTTTCATTAATCACAGAGTCTGTTTACTGAAACAAGAAAAGTACTACTTGTATGACATGCTGAAGAGGAAAAGGGAGAGGGAGTTTCCTTTTGAAAGCATAGCTTTATAGGAGGCATGAGTTAGCTGCTGCTGCTACTAGACTCTTCTCTACAGACAATCATCTCTGTCAGTGTTTTTAAACTCACTACACCTCAATGAGAAAACCACAATTCAACAAAATCATTGAACTGAGTCTTAGAGGTCAACTAGAAAGCTGATTCTTATTTTATTTGTTCTTATATTTATATAATTAATACAAGACCTTAACACCCAGTCCTGTGATTCTATTAGACTGGTTATATATTCCAGATGTAAAATGAAAAGAAAAAGATCAAAAGTAGCAAGCACATTTTAAAGATTAATATAACATACACTTGAGGATCATTTGAAGAATATATCAGGTGAAAAATTGTGCAAAAACAACAAAGATAAAGATACTTGTTAAATGTATTAATAATATAAATATATATGATTCACTAAAAGATTGGTTAATTAATGTTTTCATTTTATCTTTTCGTTTATACTTGTATCTTCAAAATATATTAAACAATAACAGTTTTCAAATTTGCAAATTTTGTTTTAGAATTAATGTACTGTTTGAAATACTATATATGTTGGCATATAAATTGAGTTTTTGAGCATAAAAAATCTCAAAATTGAAAAAAAGTTGCTGATAAAGGGCAAAGACAAAAATAATTTTGTAAGCCCATACAGGAGAGAAGTGATAATGTATTCATATATCTACTACAGTATAGTAGCCTATTTAAAACTATCATATTAGTCAAGTATTACAACTTAATGTGCATTGTGGTGTAATGGATAATGGCTCAGTATGAGAAATTGACAAGCAGTTTGAATTACAGTCTAGTTCATTACATTCACTTACGAAAAAATACCCTTAGGGTTGAATAACAGGACAGACTGCATCCTATAACCTTGGTTGGCAACCAGTCTACTACAGAAAGAAATGGCAGTCTACTGTGAGAAAATTTTCTGCCGAGTCAGTCATGATTCAAATGAGAGCTGATCGCCAAAGTGTGTATCAAATATGGCACTTAACTGGCTGACTTGCATGATAGTTCCAACTTTTATATACTACTTCTGAAGTGTTTTATGTTTGTTGTCAAGAGAAGTCTTTTATAAAATCTTGATTAATTATCTATATTTAAAATGTAATGATTATACTATGCCACTTTTCCCAAAGAAATGTAAAAATGCTGACATATGCTATCAGATATGGTGAATCTAATACATAATTTGCAAAGGTAAAATTCTAACAATAATTGGAGAGTTAAAATATTTACTAACAAAGATAATATAGAAAGAAAGATTGAATTGTAGATCAGGTTAATATAGGCATAAATCAGAATTTAATACCACACTTCAACTTTTACACAAAATTCATTAACTATATTTCCCATTTATATAAACATATATAACATATCTTTATAGGAGAACATGATATATAAATTTTTATATACCAGAACAAAATTAATGACAAAGTGGAAAAATTTTTTCCAATGAATTACAAAACCTGTACATGAAATTTTTTTTCCATTTTATCATTGATTTGCTTAGCATTTATTGATTTATTGATTATCATCACTCTCATTATCTATTGAGCAAATTTTTGACAAAAATTCTGCTAGTCTTAAAATGCATTAAATTCTCATGATTTTTACATATTCTGATAGGGGACATTCAGTTGTATCATTATTATTATTATTAATATTATATATGTGTTTTTATAACACATATTTTATTACTTCAAACATTATTTTAGTGGATATCCATATTTGAGTAGTTTATTTGGTCTACCAGCCTGCATACTCAAGAAGACTTTGGCAGTATTCAAACCTGTCCCCTTTGCAGGCAGAACCACCGTCTGATATGGCGTGCATTTACCACTTGGCTATGAAGAGCTTTGCAATAAAGCATGGTTCTATTTTGCCTTTAAAGCACACTGACACATTCAAATTTTCTTGAAACACATATCTCTTCAGTTTCATATACAAAACACAAACAAAGAAATTTTTAAAGAATTAATATATTTTACTTTTTTTAACTTGACATTTTTATTACTCCAAACATTATTTTTAGTGAATACTTATATTCAAGTAGATGTTCCATTTATTTTAAACAGTATTAATTGTGTCTATTGGTCTGTGTACTCGAAAACTCAATAAAGAAAGTGTACCCTCTGGAAGGGATCAAATCTGGATCCCCCTTTACAAGCGGAACTGCCATCTGATCTGGTTTGCTTTTATCACCCGGCTACAAAGAGCTTCACAGTACAGCAGGGTTCTATTCTGCCTTTAAAGCACACTGAATCTATAATTTTGCAAGGAATATTTAGAAAACAAACTAAATATGTAATTAAAATATTTGTGTGTAAAATCTTTTAATATTTTAACATTATTTGGATTTGTAATAATGATTTAACATATTTATAATGATATATATTTAGTTCTGGGATCATTAGAGAACTAGTGTGTCAAACAGGGATGGTTAAATGTTAGTCTAGTACCAGTAACCTTTGCTCAAAACCTACGCAAAACCAGCCAGTGGGATATTAGACACAGGAATTTTTAAAGAGGTTGGGAAAAAAGTGTGCCTTATATAGTGGGAAACCCACACACACATACACACACACATACATACATATATACACACATATATATATATATATATATATATATATATATATATATATATATATATATATACATATACATGGTTGGATTGTTAGCTCTATCACTGATATTGAGTGAGTGCTTTCCAATAAGTACCGTGCATATATAATATATAAATAATATACATATAAAATTGCATATATATATATATATATATATATATTCATATACATTTTATATATATTTAATATATAGTGGGAAATATGGTATATGCCAGCATATATGGTAATTTTTTTTTAACTTGTTGCAGTTTTTAATTCTAAAAAAATATTTGGTAAAGTTTAACAAGTGTGCCCACAATAAAATGGTATGACAAAAGGACAGTTTTTCTCTTGATACCACTATTACTGTATACTCCATCAGCAATTTTTATTGTTTTAAAAAGATATTTTTAGAATTTTAATTAACCCCAAAATTATGAAACTGAATTTATGCATTTTCTTTTTTCTCAAGAATTGACAATAAAAATATTAAACCCTATTCATTTACAAAATTATAAAAATATGGGGACTAACTTTATTATAAAGAAATAACTATGAAAACAGATTTTTTATTCATATATTTATAAAAATATTTGAACAAGAGAATA